TTTGTTATAGAAAGTTATTTTTCTTTTCGCTACGGCATAGCAGTATCTGTACTTTTCCTATCTATGTTTATCACTGGTCTTATTTCTGTCCTAACCCTCTATTTCTGAAAATATCATGATGATTACAACTTTTCATTCACCTATGATTACTATGGTGGGGCAGGCTACCTGGGGTGAATTGTTCAATAAAGGATCCCTCAGGATTGGAAAAGAGCTATTCACTCATCTATCTTGGTAAAGGGTGCATCTTGACACATGTAGCCAAGGGGCTCCTTCATAAAAGTCAAGTAAAGAATACTTCGATTAGTCAGGCTACACTGTTACAGGGAAGTAAAGAAACGAGTGACTAAATATACTATATAACTGACAATTTTGAAGTTATGGATAACAAGATTAAAATAGTTAAACAGGGACAACATAAGTGGTGACTATGTGTGAAGATACACATTTCAAAGTAAAAGTTGGAACATTTAAACTAAACAAGACAAAGCACTAACAAAACTAGAAGAGGAAAAACTCTGACAGCAGCAAGGAACAGACTAAGAGATTAAATCTAGTAGCTAAAATAATTTCCCGATAGTTCTCATTCTAAATAGGGCAAAATTAAAAATGAAATATCATTGCTTTAGAGGAACAAGTAGGCAGTATAACCATTTGTTTTGTAAAACATTCTATGAATAGGGACAGGTACTGTATATTCATATCCAGGTCACAGCTGTATTAAAAACCAATCAGGTGAACACAACTTTGCACTTAGTAAAAAACAGAAAACTACCACAAAGTCCAACACAGGCAATACTCAGAAGAAACCTAATGTTCTAATTAGGGAAGGGTGTTATACGCCCACCCCCAAAATAAACACTGGTAAAGCTGAAGGAAGAAAACAAAATCCCAAACCATATATGCCGCAGTCAAATAGGATTGACTGTGCTAAGTGCCTTGGTTAGTAAAATTCTTTAGCAATGTGAACAACATTTCAAGGCCTTAATATTGGAAACACACAAGCTCTTTAAGTCACCCCTTTTTATGTCAGTTGGCATGTAATGTTATATCCAGGCACAACAACACATTGCTGGCAAAGTCTCCCCAGGACCTAAATCCTAATAATAACCCTAAAAGCAATTAAGTAGCCCAAAATTCCTCAGTGGGAGTAGAAGTGTATCTTTTTGTTAACAAGCCTAACATTATATATAATATTTCTAACAATGAGACTAATAGACAACTCTCAGACACCAATTAATATAAAGAACTTGGGGAGGACTCCACATCAGTATTCACTCTGGAACAGGAAAATGTTATCAAACCTTGCCCATACCAGCTTCAGGAAAAACTACTTCCACTACACCCCAACTCTCCTGTTTCAGGAACATTTTATATGCTCCCCAAGATTCACAGAGGGCAATCCTGGCAGATCATTATATCTGACTGTAGTTGCCGCACTGAACAGCTATCAGGATTCATAGACCACATCCAGAGAAGTGCAGCTGTGCAGTATGTGGTGCCACAGACATGTCTCCAGCTCCACATACCACACATTCAGGTGTTCTCCACACTGCAAGGTAGCAGCGAGGGGGGGGTCATAAAGCTGGGCTGAGTTCCTCATAAAGCTGGGCTGAGTTCCATTCCCCAGCCTGATCATACCTTGGGAAGGGGAAGAGCTGCTTTGAAACATTTCAAAACTTTTGAAACGTTTTGGCTGCCCTTGTTTTGTTTCAAGGCTGTTTCAAAGTCCTTTATTTCATTTCAATTTTACTGTTTCAAGCTCAAAATGAGTTGAAACAGCATTGAAACGACACAGCTGGAGAAATTTTGCACAGCTCTACTATGCAGTGCTTTCCAGTATATAGCATTCTGTACCAGGCCAGCAGCTTGCCTATACACTCCACAGTGCAAGATTCAGACCTAAAGCTAAGTTAGGGAACCTGTGTTGGAAACATATGTGATAAATGGCAGATGCTACTTATTTGAGGGAAAGATTGGGACTCAACTTTTTTTGCCAATAATAAAAGAAATTGCACACAGGATTTTCAAAAGAAACCTAATGGGATGATCAGACCTCATTAGTGTGCTTAATTTCATTATCAGAGAAGCCATTCTACTAATGCAAACTGATTTTATATTTGAAAATGTGTTATGAAATCCTTATAAGTATTTGCTCAGAGACAATAAAAGTCACTGGTGTGAAAGCAAATCAGATTTTCAGGAAGTATTTGCACACAGGCTCATCTGGTAAAATCTCTTCCATAATTAGTTAAATGCTTTTCAAGTACTCTGAAGATAAGAAGCACTGTTATTGCTGTTTCCATTTCAGATTATTTTAACTTCAGCTAGAGAGTGATATTACTCTTAGTTCCCCACTCATTCATGCCTGTGTGCTTGTGACTCCATCTTATGTCTACTTCAAACACTATAATCCTGAATTTAAGTCCTGTTACAGCCAAGAAAAAATGGTACAGAAGGAACAGGGCTGAGCCAAAGCAGTCACTCAAAAAACATGTGAAAAACTGAATTTGCTTCCGAGCCTTCCAATTCCTGCTGTTACTGATGTCAACAACAGTGAGGTTGGATCACTGACTGCTTTTAGAGTGCCACTTAAATCAAACGAGGGTGAAAAGATTTGACAAATATGAATGCTGTTGAAAGTTGTCATGACAGAAGGATATTATATGCAGAGCCAGTGCAAGCCAGAATCTCCCATCACTTTTTTAAATTGTTTAATCTCATAAACAAAGCTCTTTTGATGAACGTGTGAAACTAAGACCAAAATAATGGGAAAGCAGAACTGGATGTCAAGGTATGATTGGGGTAACAGAATCTGCTTTTATGTTCTATGTTCCTGGTCAAAACCCACCTGCAGTGTGAACACCCCTGCCTTCTCCCTCCCCCCCCCAAAAAAATCCAACACACATTCCTTGCTGCCTTCAGCAGAAATTATGTATACATGCAGTGTCTGAATGTAGAATCTTATTTTAAGAAAACGCCTTTACTTATTCATTTACTAAATGCTTATTTTCATTGCTTCAATTTTCCTCTGATATTTTCAGGAGCAATAATCTTTTCAAGTTCACATTTCACTGTAATTCTAAACAAATGGCTTCCAATCATTTAAGGGACAAGGGCTCTAATGTTTTGGCAAGTTCATATTGGTTCTTTACAGTAATAGCTGTATTTGCTTTCAAATTTTAGGAATTAAAAAGATAGCTACAGAAGGCACAAAGTTTAAGTGTGTCAGGTCAATAAAAGCCTAGCTCTTATTATTTTTAAAGGGCCCACAAAGTAGTACAACCCCTATGTTTCTGTAACAGGGGGCTTTGCCCCTGTCACTTTAAAGGGGAAAGACTGAGCTGACAGGTAACAGCAGGACAGCAGGAACAGGTGGCTTCTTTGAGCTAAAAAGAAACACCTGTACATGGTAGAGGAGCAACATGACCAGAAGGGTGGTGCCCAGTGCTCCCAAGTGTGTTCAAGTCAGTCTGGCCCCACAGTCTGCAGGGAAAGGAGCTCCCAGGAAGAGGCTGGAGGCCACGCTGCAGGGTGCTAAGGGGGTGCTCTGTGTTAAGCTCTGTATAGGGCTTAAATGCAGTGGGGCTGGGGAATCAAATCCCAAGACAGCGGGCCACAGCTGGAGGCTTCAACAAGAGAAATCTGGAAGGCTAAAACTCGGACAAAGTTATTAGTGCCTGAGGGGCAGAATGAGAATGGGACTGTGATGTCTCATAAAAAGTAATGATGAAGCAACACTTGTAAGGCATGGGCATAGTGATGGGGGTAGTTGATGGCCACAGTTAAAGCCCCTAAGGCAGATTAGTGCCTGAGGGCACAGGTAGGGCCCAAACAGCTAGGCCACATGCTGATCCAGGGGGCTTATACTCAGGGACTTAGGGGAACAGCCTCCCAATGTAAAATACAATTCTCACCAAGGCATGGCAGGTGGAACGGTGAGGAAGTTACACTGAAGAGTTTAGGGAGACAGGTAGTTTGGCCACTACAAGATTTTGCTAGTCTCAATCAACTTCCAAGTACTGATGTCTCCGTTAATTTAAAAAACAAACAAACCTCCAGCAATAGTGTAAACTACTAATAATAATATCAGTGCTTTCAGAGATAACTGTAAAACCTTTTTTACAAAAGGCACACTTTAAAATCCTTCATTGGCCTTTTCACTGGAATTCTTTGTGAAGAAGCCAAGGATTTCACAGGCATGGAGACTAGAAGCCCACTGGCCAGCAGGAACAAACCATATTCTGGGAGACACATGGCACAAAGGGGCAAAAGGGAGAAAAAAACCCAATGTATCTGACTAGAAGAAAAAAAAAGTGTCATATCAGTTATATTAATTACAACAAATATGTTCCAAATAAAATGTAAATCAAATATTTAGAATTAGGAACTCTCATATCCTCATCGCATTCTATAACTTATATAAACAAGTTTTGTTGACCCAAACATTTACAGAAAATGATTTCTGGGTCATGAGTATTTGTGGAAGTATAATTAAAAAACTTCATGCATTCATATTCACTTTGCAAGTGTTTGCACATTTAGATCAATTGAGATCAAGAAAAACATCTTCTGTTTTATCTGATCAGCCCTGACCTAACCAACCCATAAGTCAAGCAGCAAATACTGAATACTTATAGTTCAAGCCACGGAGATTTAAAAAGAAAAAAAAAGAAACTTCATACAAAATTTCAGATGTTTTACCAGAATTAATACATTTCAAGAAATCATAATCTGTTTGTAGATATCTGGACAAGGGGAGAGAGCCAGGATTTATTGCATGTGACCTTAGCTGCAAATAATTCACTCAATCCTGCAAGTGGATACTATTAAAGTACATTATGCATGTGAATCAAACAAGTAAAAACTAGATGTGTAATTTTGTGATCCAATTAATCTATCTCATCAGTTTGTGAAGAACATGAATCATTATGAGGAGAAGGGACATGATACGAATCACCTACTAATAATTAAACTATAAATATGAAGTACATTGTTACCTTGGCAAGCAAAGCCTCTTTCTTCATAGCCAGCATTACACAAACACTTTCCTATGGGCACTAGCCATTCTCCTTCTGTACTGCAATACATCTTAGGTGGATCTTCCTCCTTGGAATGATTGACACAAGAACCTCGCACTTCCACTAGTGACTGGGAGTCCATAGGTACTGTGTCTGGAAACATAGCCAGGTTCTTTACAGTGAAAGGGCACTTTTTGAAGTACACTCGCACTGATACTAAGGCAACACATGCACCCACATCTTGAAAGGCCAAGTAAAAGCCTTTCTTGCTGATGGGTCCCACCTCACGAACTTCTGTATTGAGTTTGAGAATTCGATCCCCAAGATCCATTTGAGTGAAGCTCTCATCAGCTGCAATGGTGTCAATCTTTGTAAACTGGTGTTCTCTGAACTTGACCGAATGGTCATCATCAGATTCCATGTAATAAAGATTAAAGGTCTCTTTGCAAGTGCCCAGAACCAGTGGTATGCTATTACAGTCTCTCAAGGTAAACTTGAGCTCCACATATATCTTCTGAGCTGAATTGCGCGGGATCCAGTTTGTTCTTAGCCAGTTGTTCTGACTGTGATCCATGACATTGCACACCTGATAAGTTCTGATTGGTGTATAGTGCTCATCAACTCCACTTATCTCCTCCCACTGAAAAAAAAAGAAAAATATTAAGGATATTGATTATAATTGGTAGTTACTGTATTTACAGCTGCACATTATGATCGAACACTTTACTGAAGAGTCTGCCCCCACTATACAGAGCAATACTGTTTTACTTAAAACTGCTAGGAAAGTCTTGTGACACATGCACTTCATGTTTTCTAACACATCCTATGAATGCTTTATATATACACACTAACAGTCACCGTTAACAAGTCAGCATTTAGTATGAAGTGATATAAAGCTCATTGTCTGTCCAGCTACTGCTGAAATACCATGAGTTTACAACATTTTAGGGCCTGAACAACATTTAAAAAATTTAAGGAGACTTCTATTTATTTTGCATCTCTCTCTGACCTCACTAGTTCACCTTAACCTTGCTACCACAGTTACTAAAAGTTATCACAAACTTTATTTTCAAACATCCAATAACTCAGGTTCTTCAATACTATATAGCTTTTTACACCAGCCTCTTCAGAACTGATATTTAACAGTGTTGGTCCTCTAATTAGTTCTGGATATATCATCTGACAGATATATGGGCTTTTTTCACTGTTGATAGAAAAAATAGATTATTGTAGTTACCACGCAGTGTTTATTTAATTCTAACAATTAAAAGGACTTTCAACCATCCAAGAACGATGGATTTACATGTTCTAACATTTTAATTATATAATCTCCCTCCCCCCCCAAACTATCCATGAAACTTTGAATACCTCCATTTACAGACAATTTTAAAAGGCTATTTTTCTATCTTTAAAGAGAATTATGCATATACAAAGACATAGAACTTAGCGCACAGTGAAACATGACTGTTTATAGAAGCTACAAAAATCCATCTTCTGGATCACTGTCACCCAGAGAGATACACACAACACATTCCAAAATGCAAACCCCATGCCATGGCAGCAATCAGATGCAATGCAGCTGGAGAGTGGTAACCACTTAGACAGAGTTACTAGGTGTTGTAAATGTTGGAGTGAGTGAAGTAGATAGAACAAAGCATTTTTGGAGAAAGCGCACTTTCTCTGAGTACAGATCATAATTTTTTTCTAGGAATATGCCTTTCCCCATCTACTTAAATTACAAAGAATTCAGAGGCCCCTTTTACACATGCAGGTAAAGGCATATGCATTGCAGGAGGGGCAATTATGGGATTATGCATTAGATCCCATCATGTCTTATTGCTGATGCAGGTGGAGCCCAATCCTGGGCAGCCCCTCCATGGGTAAGACGCAGTCTCCTGCTGCTGGGAGCCCGCTAGGGCTTGGAGGTTTTATGCTGGGCATGGTACACCTCTCAGGCTGAGAGTCTTGTCAACTGACACTTCTATATCATTTATTTTGAAGAATCTTCCTATGAATACTCTTTTGTATTGTTTAAATCAGGCTTATTTTTGTTTAAGCATTTGTAAACATGTACACTTCTTACTAGACTAGTATAGATAAAAAAAAAAAAAAAAAAAAAAAAAAAAAAAAATCAGTAAAACCCTTGTGTGCATATTGTTACAGTGGAATCAAGGTACTTGCATTGGTTTTGGTAACTTTACACTAGAATACCTCAGCAGATATGAGCTAGATCTAATAGAAACTAGTTTAAACTAAACCAGTGATTCTCAACAGGGGTGTGTACAGAAGTTGGTTTTTTTTGCCATTTAAAGCACTTTATTAACATGACTTAACAGAAGTGCTTTACAGCACTTTAAAAATTAGTACAGCACTTTAAATTAACCCTTATTAAATGAGGTATTAAATATTTTATAGCACTTGAGCAATCTGTAGCACTTTAAATAACTTCTGTATGCTGGTCAGATTTCTGACCCATGGAGAAGTTCCAGGAGGCTGCAGAGCACCCCCTACCTCTGAGGCTGGAAAGTGCAGGGAGGCTCAAAGCCTACCCACCCCCAAACACTGAACATCTGTCATGTTTAAAAGTGCTGTAACTTTATAGTGCTATAAAAAGTGCTCTAAATTACAGCTCTGTAAAACATGCACCGAGGACTTTTGTACGCATCTCAGGATGCCAAGGCAAACTGGGGTGCCTTGAGATCCTTCCATGACAGCACTGTCACATGTGCAATCACGGTTCACATGATAAACCCAAAGATTTCAAAGAGGAATCTGGAGCGTTAAAACATTGTGACCTGATGTGGTCTTTCTCTGTTCTTTGCAACAGAAGCATTGCTTTATTATTTTTCTGTAGTCAAAAAACAGGTGAAAATGAAGAGCTGGCTTTTCCCAAGCACCCTGAGTCTATCCAGGAGTGCCTTGAGTCTATCAAGGCTGAGAACCATCAACATAAACTAAACTGATACACTCAAAATGGAGCTGCAAAGATATGTTGCCCATGTTAGATCAGAAAAACTTTTATAGTGGCATAAAACACAAGTAAACAAACATCCTTGCCTAAAATGCCCCCAAATATTAGCACAATGATTACTATTGATAGTTTGTGCTGCTTTATCACAGGCAAATGTGTGTTTGGTTATGGCACAATCGATGCACACCAGGGCTTGTCTCTACTCTTCAGTAGCCCCAGGTAGGTGATTCCAGGGGCACATATTTCACACTGAAGAACAAGGAAATGCGCTGGGTCCACACTTGCAGACATGAACCCTGGGAATTCCCCATGGGGTTCCTCTGCTCTGCAGCATGGAACACATGCCACAGGAATTCCTCTATAGGGGATTTCAGGACACACATTTCACACTTTAGAGCATGGGAGCCCCAGGTGATTCCCCACTCTGCACTTGTAGATGTGCACCCCAGGTCAGGGCTAGGTACCTGGGGCTGTTGTTCTGCAGGATTGGGCCACTGAAGCCCTAGAAATGGGAGGGGCCCAATTCTGTAGGACAGTGGCCCCAAGTGACATCTGCATCTGCTAATTAATTGGTTCAGCTGTGCCTGGTGTAGCTGATCCTGCAACAAAACTGACAGACAACAATGTCTGTCTGTAGCCGGGATGTGTGAGCAAATGAAACATTTACTTCAGTGAAACTTTCACTGGTATGTTACACTAATAGGAACCAGTTTAAAGCAGGAACTAAACTTGACAGACAAGCTGGTAGTCTGGAGTTCTTGCAGATGGATGCCACTTTTACTGGTGTAACTTATACCAGCTGAGTCTTACCCTTGATTGTTTCAGGGATAATTCTAAGGAAGAGTAGTGAAAATTAACTTATTTACATTGAAATAACAACTAATTGCACCAGGTTTGTTCAGACCCTAAACCAAGAGATCTACATAGAGACCTCCACCCAATCAACTACTAGACCTTAAAAATTGTTTTACTGATTAAATAAGTTTAAATTAAACCACTGCAATTTCTGTATGTGGACAAGACCTAAAAATGAGACATAATATACATGTAAAACACAATGTCTTCCAATTTTGGTAAAAAACTTGGATTTCTAGAAAAATTGCACTCAAATATTGACATCTATCAATTAAGACTAAATTAGACAGGATTATGAAAGGTATTTTACAAGGAAATTTAAAGGATCTTACATAGATATTCACATGATTCATTCATCACTGTTCCCATTAATATCGTTTCTAGTCATTCCAATACATTCTACACTTTCTATAAAAGATGCAAACAAAACAGGAACTTGATTTGCTGAATTTTAATAACTTCAGAAGATATATTGTGCCATAGTAATCTTGCTGCAATTTTTTCACAGCAACTTTCTAATCTGGCATGTTTATACAAGCACATCAATACAGAACTATAAATTGCATGATAAACCAAACAACACCAGTATGTTCTGCATATAAAGGGTTGCAAAGAGCAATTATCACTTCATTAATTTGTAATGAAGACCAAATTGCCTGTAAATGATTGCAGATTGCCATTTCAGCCTAGTTGTTGCATAAACAGCAAGTCTCTGGAACTACTATTTAAGAGTGAGGCTTTCTGAACGAAGGGTCTAATCCTGATCCTATAGACTGTAAAAAGACACTTGCTCTTCACTTCTACAGTTACACGATCAGACTCAAAACAAAATTATACACTTCATACAAATTGCTTTAGCTTAGTAAACTACAATGTTGGCACTATTAATAATGACACAAGCCACAAGAATGTATTTTAAAACTGGATATTTTAAAATAATTAAATATCTAATTCTTCCCATCTTCCCCCCCAAAAAACTTTAGGGTCCTCATTTTCTAGTTTAGCTCTGCAACCACACTTGATAGATATCCACTTTTTTTAAAGAAAATGAAAGCTGTGGTTCTGAAATATTCACCTGACTCCAGCACTTGGCCTTTCAAGAAAGATAAATCAAGCGTGAAACACGTGAGAGAACAGCAAGATCCAGCAATACTGAAGGAAGGAGACCACTACTCTTAAGATCAACCAAAGGGGAAGCAGGGACCCTTCATTTACTATAAAGCCTAATCAAATGAAACTCTGTATGCATAATTTATTTGGGTTTGGTTCATCATTTCCTAAGGGATTTCACAGGCTCAGGATTACTCTGAACATAGGTGATCCCAAGGCTCCACACTGTTGTAGAGTTGCAAAGTGCTATACCCATTCTCTACTTCAAATCATAGAGAGAGACATCATGCAAGCTCTTCTTCATGTAAAAGTTACCCTCTCTCCAGCACTGTCATCCTAGGATGCTTTCTATAGTGCACTTGAACACTGCTAGTATAAAAGCAAAAGACCAGATAACATTGAAACAAAATCAGATGTCCTAAACTACAGCCCCTACCCTTCTTATTAGCAACAATAAAACCCTTTTTTGGGTTATTTGCCATTTACAGTTATAAAATAAATATATAGCCAAACTTTAAAGTATATAACCCTTAAGTATTGTGAAGAGATACTTCTGTTTGCTAGTGGGAGAGGTGGGTGCCAATGGAATAGTTTCTCTTGGATGCTCTTCTTCTAGGCCGAGTAGCAGAGGGGAAGCAATTAATTGCCCAATTTCAAAGCACTGTTACACAACAACTTTAATAAGAGAATCATTGAAGCTTCAC